TGTTGTTGCTGATGATAGTACTGTGGACCTTTTTCTGTTACCATATGGAAATTAAAGATTATTGTGCTCACAGTGGTATGTGTTTGGGGGAGTTTAAGGAGATTAATCTGCGGAACTAAACACTAAACAAACAACAAGCAAACACCAAACGGCACCAATAAAAAATATCACAATCAAGCAAACACCAAGATTTAACATGGTTCAGCAAATCGCGTCTATATCCACAGGGCAATCCAGAAATAAATATTTCACTATGAATCAAGAGTATAATCCCTCCAAGTTACACCTGAACTTGAGGATTAAATCACAAGAGAAAGATATGTTACCTCTAGGGCACCAAAACCCTAAAACATGTCTCACCAAAAATCTCCAAATCCCATGGATAAATCAGTATCGTACCCTTGACGGCGTCGTCGTTCTGAAGACAACGGCTTTTGAATCACTACAATCGGACATCCAAGCTATCTGGAATCTGAACTTTTATCTCTCTCTTTTTCTCTCTCCTCGTGGCACTGTAGCAAACTCGTGGTTAATGTAGCAGCGAAGTACTGTTCACCCAAAATTTGTTCATATAAAATTTGATCTCAGGGCTCTCTTATATAGAATTCTCCAAATATATTCCTATTTAAAATAGATCATTCAAATCCTCTTCTAAATAGAGTTATAATCCATGTAGACTTCTTATAGATAGAATTCTAATTCATGTAGACCTCCTCATGTAGGCCTCATCTTAGGCTGGACCCACAACAATCTCCCCCTCCAACCTAAGGAGGGGATATGCCAATCTTTAACTCCTCAACGGGAGTTCATGTCGGCCAATCGCCGACACAACTCGGTCTTCTCTTTGGAAACGGTCTTCGTTAAAAAATCTGCTGGATTTTCATTTGTGTGAATCTTCTGTAACTTTAGCTCCTCTTTCTCAATAGATTCTCTAAGCCAATAATATCTTACATCAATGTGTTTCGTCCTGGAGTGGAATGCAGAATTCTTACTCAAATCAAGAGCACTTTGACTATCAATGAAGATTTGATAATTGTCCTGCTGTAAGCCTAACTCCTGCAGAAATCTTCTCAACCAAATTATCTCTTTACCGGCTTCTGTAATTGCAATATATTCCACCTCTGTTGTAGATAAAGCAACACACTTCTACAACCTGGACTGTCAAGATACCGCTCCCCTATAAAAGTGAACAACCAACCTGAGGTAGACTTCCTGTGATCGAGATCACCTGCCATATCCCCATCTACAAAACCATGTAATACTACCTTCAAACTTCCAAAACTAAAACATAATCTGAAACTGCCTTTTAAATATTTTAAGATCCACTTTACACCTTCCCAATAAATATTCCCTACATTAGAAAGAAACCTGCTCACAACGCCAACTGCATGAGCTATATCTGGCCGAGTGCAAACCATGGCATACTGCTCACAACGCCAACTGCATGAGCTATATCTGGCCGAGTGCAAACCATGGCATACATCAAACTCCCTACAGCTGAAGAGTAAGGAATAATGAGCTATATCTGGCCGAGTGCAAACCATGGCATACATCAAACTCCCTACAGCTGAAGAGTAAGGAATACTCTCCATCTCACTCTTTTCCTCATCTGTAGTCGGGCAAAATTTCTTGTTAAGCTTCAAATAACCTACAAGAGGAGTACTGACTGACTTGACATCTTTTATGTTGAATCTATCAAGTAACCGTTCAACATATTTCTCCTGTGATAACCATAATTTCCTAGCTTTCCTGTTGTTAACCCTATAGTTTTGATGATGATTTGTCAAACAATTTATCACTAATATATTCTCTAGTTTTGTGTTTATGTTTCTCTTACAGGTATTTCAGCACACAACAATCAAGCATTAAAGATTCAAGTTCATATGTGTGGATTTACCTAGGTATAAGTTTAGTTTACTTACATATATTGTATGTTTATATTTAAGCTCAATATATGTACACTTAACACAATTTTTTATGTTTTCTATCATATAAATAATTTTTCATCAAACGTTGTTATAATTTATCCTATTTCATGTTTACAGCTCTTTCATACTCTTATATATATATAATGTATGCATGATATATAAATATGTATTTATGAGTCATATCAAAATTTTCATATTCGTAAAATACAGGTTTTACGAACACTTTTCAAAAACAGTGTGTTTTTTGCAAACAAAAATTATTTTTCCAAAATTCCTTTTTTAACATGTTCATTTTATCATTTAGAAACTTTCTCCAAAGTTTTATCATTTTTGGAATTGATTTAATATTTTTAATGCATTTTCAAATTTGGCCCAAAAACCTGTCAATGCCAAGTATCAGTTTGCGGTCGATCGCCGGGAGTTATCTTTCAGCATTTGACCTTTCTATGCCTACGGTCGATCGTGATGGACGATCGTGACGGTCGACCGCCAGCCTTAAAACCCTATACTCAGGATTTTTGTGCCTTGCGGTCGACCGCGAGATTTCCACGGTCGACCGTCGATTTAATCATTGGTTTTTAACGGCTATTTTCACAAAGGTTCTCTGGGGGGTTTTTAGTCTTTTCAAGTTGGTTTTTGGCTGATATTTGAGAGGGTATAAATACCCCATTGCTGCTCTCTTTTACCCATCAAAGTTTTGTGTTTAACAAAATATTAAGAGTGTTTAAAAGAGCTGTTTAAGCTGATTTTATCAGTCTGTTTCAAAAGAAGTTTTCCTACAACAAGAAGTGACTTTCAAATCCTATTGGGATCATCATCTACTGTTCTTCTTGTTTGAGAAGTTTTCTAAACTCTTATATAGCTTACTATTCCATTTTTATTTCATTAGCTATATTTATTTTGTTGTATTATTTTCATTCACTGTTATCACACACACATATTGAGCTTAATATCTTCATACCATATAGTGTGGGTTGTGGGGTGTGATTTAGTGAGTATGAGCTTCATTGTGTTCTCATTTGTTATTAAGAACAAATCATTGTATTTATCTTTTATTATGAGTATCACTTGTAATACACTTGTACACTGAGAGAAGTGTGAGGCGAGAGACGGGGTCGAATCTAATAGGAGTGGCGTCGGTTGACGAACCTAGGGAGAGGTTACATCCGAGCACTTGAGGAGGAGGACACGGGCTAGGTTCATACACTTAGTGTGTAAAGTGTGATTGCATAGTGTTTGGTGTGTGAGAGTTTTCGGTGAACTTGTAATCCGAGTGTGTAGAAGTTCCGGCTTCCAAACCGGATTGTGATAGTGGATATCTCCTCGAGGTGAGGAGCGGGGACGTAGGTCATGGTGACCGAACCTCGTAAACATATCGTGTATTTGTGTTTTGCTTGACTTACATATTATTTATGCATATTCTTATTGTTCTTATTCATATCTATCTCATATCATTCTTACAAGAACAAATTAATCAATATTATTTTAATTAGCTTTTAATCGGGATTAGATTAGCATAAGACCCTAATCACCCCCCCCCCCTCTAGGGTCTAACACCTGTCACGAGCAATATCCATACCAAGAATCCGTTGTGCAGAGCCCAAATCCTTCATGTCAAAAGATTTAAATAACTCCTTCTTTAGCCCACCGATTATTTGACTATCCTAACCAACAATCAACATATCGTCCACATAAAGCAAAAGGATAATGAAACTAGAATCTGAAATTCTCCTGAAATATACACACAAATCTGAAACTGTCCTCTGGTAGCCATGACTCAACATAAAAAAAATTAAATTTCTTGTACCACTGCCTGGTTGCCTATTTTAAACTATAGAGGCTCTTCTTCAACCTACAAACTATGTGTTCTTTTCGCTTCACTTCAAAACCCTCCGGCTGCTCCATGTAGATCTCCTCCTCCAAATCACCATGAAGGAATGCAGTCTTCACATCAAGCTGCTCAACTTTAGGTCTAAACTAGTTGCTAACCCCAAGATAACTCTAATGGACGTCATCTTCACAACCGGTGAAAATATCTCATCAAAATCAATGCCTTTTTTCTGACTAAAGTCTTTCACCACTAATCTGGCTTTGTATTTTTGAATCTCTTTGTAGTCATCCTTCTTTAACTTGAACACCAACTTATTCTTCAAAGTTTTTATGTCCTTCAGCAAATCTATCAACTCGTAAGTATCGTTCTTCTCAAGAGACTTCATCTCTTCCTTCATAGCCTGGAACCATCTGTCCTTGTCTTTATGAGTATGTGCCTCCTAAAAGATTTCTAGCTCCCCCTCTTCTGTTAACAAAGAATACTCTGAAAGAGGATATCTCGTGGATGGTCGATGCTCTCTAGCTGATCTCCTTAGTTGTGGCTCTGTAAACTCCTGCTGTTGGTG